ATGCGCGAGCGCGCGCGGGGGTACCCATCTGCGATAGCCTTAGAGGGCGGAGCTTACACGAAATAGAACTCTAAATTGTCCCTAGGTGTGAGTGAGAGAGTGAATAGTTGTTCGTCTCGTTTGTCTCTATGTGTGGCCCTGTGATGGACTGGAGACCTGTCCAGGGTGTACCCCGCCCCTCGCACTGTGACTGCTGGATACGGGCACCAGTGACCCACGCGACCCTGAAAAGGAAGAAGCGTGTACAGAAAATGGATGGATGATGGATGGATGGATGGATGATTGTTTTGCAGGCTTTACCACAGACTTCAACACAGTAAATCAAGTGTGGAACAATTATTGTATAATATAATATAAACAGAGCTTTATCATTAAATGACGGCCTTACTTTATACAGTACTCCAACAGATTTAGYTATTTTTGTTYTTAAGTARTTYAMATGAGCTCTCCATGTCAGCCCTTCATCAATGATAAYGCCCAAAAACTTTATCTCACTGACTCTACTAATCTCAACACCATCAACTTTAAAAGGAAAATCAATAGTTTTCTTTTTATTACTGAATATCATGTAATTAGTTTTATCCAAGTTTAGCGACAATTTGTTAAGTTTGAACCACGTTTGTATTTTTACAAATTCTGTTTGTATCCTTTCCAACATCCGTTCAATATCCCTACCCAAACAAAAAAATGTAGTGTCATCAGCAAACAGAACACATTTAAACAACCCTGATACATTTACTAAATCATTTACATACAAAATAAACAGCTTTGGTCCAAGTATAGAACCCTGAGGAACTCCACATGTGATATTACTGAGTTCAGATCTTATATCATTAATTTGAACAAACTGTTTCCTAAAAAAATTGTAATTCAGCAAGTGATTTCCTGAAAACCTTTAGTGAATTTTTAAGTAAATATACAAAAGAATCACCTTGATTTCAAACCAGACTAATCAGTACCAATCACATTCATACACTGATGGGACACATAAGAGGCATTAGGGCTGAAGTGTCTTGCCCAAGGACACAACAACTGACAGCTGGACGGGGGATCAAGCTGGCAACCTTCTGGTTCCAGGATGACTCCCCTAACCACTCTGCCACAGCCGCCCCCCATAAATCTACTGACTCAAAACCTTCTTAGATGCAATGATGATTTCTCACATATTTTGTGTTGGTCTTAAGCAAACAAGACAACAATAAAATCTGTAAGCTCCTTATATATTAGGAGAATATAAAATGATAAATTTGAATCATTTAATTGTGTACTCCAATATGCAGCTTATTTTTAAACTTGTGAATAACACTGCTCTCCGCCTAAAAACCTTTGTCCAACTCTGCTGAGCTGACAGCTATGAACATGAGGTCAGTGAACAGTATGATTGTAGAAAACCCAAACGTAGCTCAACATTTGCACAGACAGCCTTTTCATTTAAAGGCATCACAGAACAGAATAAACTTCCAGTAAATCTTAAATTTTGCACTGACCTGAAGGACTTTACTCATAATGTTAGGAAAGTGTTATCAGAAAACCAGCAGTGTCTGCACGGACAAATCCAAACTGTAATCCTTGCATTAGTGATTACAGAACTAAAGTTTTATACTGAGAATGGTT